TTTTAATTATAAATCACAGGTAGTTTAGCATCATCAGTATCAACTAATTTGGAGTATGATTAACCCTACAGTTTGTCGCAGCGCCCCCTGGTGGTCAGCGGTGCTACCGGGGAGCGGGGAGTTCCTGGCGACAGCGGCTGTGGCTCCTTTAGGCTGGGGCTTCAGGACGCCAGGCCCGGCCGAGCCTCACAGCCGTTCGCTCACGAGAGAAGGAAGGAAGGAGTGGGTCCCACACCCCTGTCCTGCTCCCGCTCCCGCTCCGGCTCCCGGGGTGCGTATGGCTCAGGGCGGGGTGTCTGGGGGTATTTAGAGCTCAGAGTGGGGTGTCCGGGAGGTTTAGGGCTCAGAGTGGGGTTTTGGGGTGTTCAGGGCTCAGGGCGGGGTGTCTGCGGGTATTTAGAGCTCAGAGTGGGGTGTCCGGGAGGTTTAGGGCTCAGAGTGGGGTTTTGGGGTGTTCAGGGCTCAGGGCGGGGTGTCTGCGGGTATTTAGAGCTCAGAGTGGGGTGTCCGGGAGGTTTAGGGCTCAGAGCGGGGCCTTGGGGGCGAGGACAGGGTTCCTGGCCTCCCGGAGCCAGCAGCCCGGTAGCACCGCTGACCACCAGGGGGCGCTGCGCTGCAATAAGGAACCCGGGGCCCAATCCCTCCGGTTCCGCATAAAGGACCCCGAGCGCAGATGCCTGGCGAGCCGCCTGGGACGTGCTGGTCCTGAACGTTTAGTTGCTGGTTGAGGCTGCGGTTGGACCGGGCCTCCTGTGTGTTCCCAGCCCCACAGAGAGGAGCCGCCCCAGGAGGAGGATCCTGGCTTCCAGGGCGTGTGGGGACCAGGACGTGACTCAGTGAACGCGTCCTGGGAAGAGGGAAGGGGACTGCGCTCAGCTGTCAAGGATGCAAAACCCACACGTGAGGCCAGGGGTGAGCGGGGAGGAGAGAAACCCAGCAGGTGGGTGGGCAGGGCCTGCGACCCCCACCCCCTCCGCCCCTTCGCCTCCGCCTCCGCCAGACTGTGGGCAGGCAGCCTGGGTCCGTCCGACTGTCTGGGCAGCAGTTTCATTTCCCAGTGGAGCAGGGTGGACATCGGCCTCTCTGAGTAAATACTGAAGAGGAAACACCAGGAACGTTTTGCAGAATCATGAATTGCTCGCCCATTTGCACCCGCCCCCCCCCCCCCCCCCC